ATCAACAAGACATAAGTAAACAATCAACAATTTAGCATACATAAATAAACAGTCAACAAGACATAAAATAAACAGCAAACAATCAACAATTAAGGCACTTATTAAGGCACTCAGGTATTTACATGGTGCAATAAAAAAGGATAAATAAATATGATAATGTTGATACAACTGTGTGTCCTGAAGACATACTCTGCAGTACAGTATGCATCTTACATTGGCTGTTTGTCAAAGAAGTAGTATGAATTTCACAATGTGAACTGGGAGTTCATTGCTAGGTCAGCTGTTCAGTTTTTGATCCTTTGGAGTAAAGCATTTCAGAAAGTAATTCACAAGGATCCAACAGTGGATCTGTGGTGGCAATACGAACCCACTGGAGAAAGACAGGCAACCCTGAGGAACGGATCAACGTGGGAAAAGATGAAAAGATCAGTGAAGAGTTTGACTCTGTTCCCATCGGCTTTATATTTAGATGCTCTTAACCTCCCATTGAGCTACAGTATACACCACAGAGCAGTGAAGCAGTGATGTGTTTTATTACACAGGAGGGAAGGACAGCATAGAGGGAGATGGAAATGGAGGCAGGAGATAGACAGATGTACCGGAGAGACACACAGACGGACAGAGTTTGACAGATGTAGAGTGAAAGTGTAACAGAGACAGACAGAGACACCGTGCTTGGAGTTAAAACAAGAACCTTCAGTACCAATTGTACAAGTTGCCTATGGCAACTCTTCAAGGGAAACTCCATCAACCCCGACAGCACTTTAAGAACACTAGTTTACTTCCATACTACTACATAACATGCACACAATGTATTGTTTTTTTTATTATAGCGGAATTTGCTTAAAATGTATAACTTGTAGACAACAAAGTACAGCAACTTCTGATGGAAAAAAAATATTATATAATTATTCTAATTGGGTAATAGAAAAAGAGTAACTCTGATATTCACAGCATTGTTAATGCTTCTAGGAAAACCACAAAAACACACTGAAACACTGATGATGCTGATAAATAATCATCATCATTATAAACTAAAAAGGTCCAGTGTGTAAGGAGGATCTATTGGCAATAGTATAATGGAATATAATATGCGTAACTATGTTTCCATTACTGTATATTAACCTGAAAATAAGAATTGTTATTTTATTTTTATTGTTATGTTCATATCTACATACACCTTCCCTGGAGGCTGCCATGTTTGTACAGTAGCTCAGAATGGACAAACCACTGGCTCTAGATAGGGCTGCTTGCGTTCTTTGCACATTTTGTGTGTCACACACATCGGTTCACCATGGCAGTGTCAAATTTTCCACGTGCTTGTTTCTTTGTCAAGTTAGGAATATTAAATATGCAACATCCGGTTACATCTTCAAAATAAAGCTTGCTTTGTTGGTTTAGGTCTCAAACTGTAGTCTTATGGTTCAAAGTTTTTGGACCCTTATACCCACTCTATCCTCCTCTCTATGTAGACTTTATCACTCTTTATTATGAGTTAGTGTGCATGCGTCGAGAGTGCATGCTGCTTGTCACAGTTGAAACAAATTTCCCCCCGGGGATCAATAAGGTATTTCTGATTCTGGTTCTGCTACTGCACCTTCTTACACACGTCCACTTTTTACATCTAGGCAAGGCAAAACATGGCACTGTATCCTCTAGTGGAGCAGTGGATCTATTACATGCTTTGGCGTGTGACTGGGTTGGTCATTTACACTTCAATCAACACCGCTATTCCTTTCAGAGCTCACAGTTTGTGGTAACACTTCAAGTCCTTTCAGCACTTTCCCTCCATCTATCTCTTCACAGCTTCTATTCCAGAAACACCCAACGATCAGCATTTTAAGGCATTTACGCTGCTGCTTAAAATATGTAAAAGAAAAATTACCCATTTCTAGTTTTAAATAAAGATATGATCTCTCCAAATGTTCAGAACTGTGTTCATATGTTATCTCTCATCCCCTGACAGCAAACTACGAAACATATTGTTAAAGTAAACTCTAGTTGTTGGTGGCTCAGACGTGAGCACATAGTGAGCAGAAATCAGCTTCTGCAAATAGGGTTTACGTGTACAGTGTAGAGAATTTGTTTGACATCCAGAGACATACACAGACTTTGACATACAGAGACGGAGTGATTTTGCACTGCATCACATCTGTGGCAGCCTCGGGCAGCAGCCAGAGGGCCACAGAGAGGAGCCTCATTAGTGGGATGATGGGTTAGTCCATATTATGCTCCTCATCTGCTACTTACTTAAATGCTTCATTTTCTTTGCATAATCTTTCCCTTCCCTCACCCTCTATAAAGTGGTTCAAAGAGAAACAACATAATCATTTTGGAAATTTTTTAAGAAGTTTACATTTTGTTAGTCATCAAAATTCAATTTACAGGCACAAATGTAATTCTGTGCCAAGCTGAAACGACAAAAATAAAATTTTATTTTCAGTGAACAGCACTGTCGAATGAGCTTACCACATTAATTAATAGACGCTGTTTATTTTGAGTTTAATTAGTCCTTGGTTGATTGTTACCTTTAAATAACGAGTTACACACTGATTGCCATTGATTACCTCTCAACAGTTCGAATGCTCAGACGATTATATCTGAATTTGTGTTCGTATTAGGGTTAATTTCTCCACAACAAAGTGTGTTTGATTTAACTGCAGAGTGATATTAACTATGACTGTTTTCTAAGGTCAGAAAATGTAACAGCTTTCACTGAATTAATGTTCAACTTACGATTACTTTGCAGGTCATTTGATTGAAGCTAACTAGAATTTGTGTACTTCTCCTCCATGCACCCACACAGAGCTCTGAAATTTTAAAGATCACAGGGAGAACAGGTTGCCCCCAGTTAAATAACTAGGAACTTCAGCAGAATTTATAATTTAAAGATTCTTGAGATCCAGACGCATAAGGAAACTCAAACCAGCAGAAAGCACCTTATTAGTGCTGTGAGAAATACCTGACCTAACAGTGACAGTGAAATAACATTTAAAGCTTTGTATTATTTTTTTTACCAGGGGGGGCACAAAGTTATTGATATTATGGCTGATACTACACGTTATTGTAATCTGCTGTTAAAGTTACAAACCAGTTTTATAAATTAATATTTGAATCAAACTAACACTGTTGAGGCACTTATGAAAAAGGAACAGGAAAGGCACTACAGAAAACTATGTCTGCTTCTTCTGCTTTTCATCTTAACAGAATCCATTAAGACTAACAGCTGTACCTGTACCTGGCATGTCTAAGTGGTTGAGGCTACTTGTAGAGTAATTTCACCAATAATGCGCACATTTATGTGTAACCTGGTATCTTATGGGAAACCATGGCAACATTGGCAACATGCAGTGAACAACTGACCTGTAATTAAGGTGATCTATGAGGGATGGTTGATCACTATTGCTCATGAGAGGAGAGATGAGATAAAGAAAAATGAGAGGAAACACGAGCCATGAGAAATAGGGTAAGGCTCAGTGAAGATGAGAGGAAGGAGGGGAGGAGAGGTAAATGGGAAAGAAAGGAAAGGGATAGAAGAAAGGAAAGAGGACAGAAGAAGAGAAGAGAGTAAAAAAGGGAGAAGCAGAGGAGGGGGTTAAAGGGAAGAGGAAAGGAGAGGGAAAAGAGAAATGGTGCTCAAGGAAGGCAATTAAAAGGGAATATGGGAAGAGAGGAAGGAAAAGCAAGGGAGGAGAGGAAGACAGGAAGAGGGAGAGGAAGGAAAACTGAGGAGGAGATGAGAAGAATAAGGGAAGAAGATGGGGGGAGCAGAGTAGAGAAGAATTAGCTGTCCTTTTCTACAGCTCTCCTGGGATCCTCAATCTGTGCTGGCCAATTTAAACACAGGACTTTAGAGATTGTGTGCGTGCGTGCGTGCGTG